AGCGCTGAGCTCACCGGGGCGTTCGAAGCCGAAGCGACTCAAGGCGTCATCGCGTCACGGCCCACGCGCTTGCACAGAGAGAGTGAGTGAGTGAGAGAGAGAGAGAGAGAGCGAGAGAGAGAGAGAGAGAGAGAGAGAGAGAGAGAGAGATCGTGCCTGTGCGGGGGTGCAGTGCAGGGAAAGTGTAACCGTGTAACGTGTAACTGGGCCCCGTCTAGGCGCCAGCTCATTAAGGGGGGCAAGCCTATTATCTCGAGTTATTGGCCGTGCAGGAGTTTATTGGGTAGGCCGGGTGGTAGGGGCTCCGGGGCTGATGGCAAGGCCAGGGCCGCCTCGACTCGACCGCCTCGGCCGCCTCCTCGGAGCCCGCCCCACGGGGCGTGTGGGCGGTGCTGGGGGCGTGCCGGGCGCTCCGGGCGCGCATGCTGATGAGGGGAGAACGGCCAGGTGGGAGAGCGAGGACGACGCTAGGGTCGGAAGCCCTGGAAAGTTTCCGGGAAAGTTTCAGGAAAATTTCCGGGAAAATTTCAGGAAAGGATGGAAAATTTAAGGAAAAATTCATGAAAAGATGGAAAATTTCCTAGTCTTCGGAAATTTTTAGTTATTTGCGGGAAACTTTCAAGAAATTTTCCGGAAAATTTTGGAAATTTCCAACCTTGGACGACGCGCAGCCGTAGGGGCCTTTCACATCGCGAGTAACTCGAAAGAGAGAAAGGAAAAAAAAAACCCCTCTCTGTGTCGCTAGGCTTTTCCCTCGAGCTCTTCTTTGTGCACCGCTGGAGCGTAAGGAATCGTCCAGAAGGCACGGCAGTTTTTCCTCACAAAGATTCATGCGACCCAAAATGAGGACGACGGGGAGCGAGCTCGGCGCCTGCGAGACTCAGGGTAGGCCAGCCCGCAGTACACGCATGCACTGCGGCCCAGATTTTGCCTACCCATCAGGCGCTATCCAGCGCTTGCCTGTGACGCTGCGGAAACTTGTGCTCTTTCGTAACGGCAAACGGGGCGGACGTACTTTTTCTGGATGATTTCCTAAGACTACTGTACCTCGCTATACCGGGGGATGTCCTTATGTCAGCCTCCCCGCGCGCCTCCGCGGGTCGCGTAGAGGGAAATCAGCGCGGTAAAGTGGAATGTACTGCGTGTGTAGGGCGGCGACGATATCTCTCACGGAATCCCCCGCGCGCTCGCGAGGTTTGGGGGGGGGGGGGGGGGTCCCCCGCCCGCGACCCAGTTCCTTGACCCGGCCCTGCGCGCCGCCGCGCCTACGCAGCGCTGTGCCGCCGCCCAAACCGGCCCGGCCTCCCGGCCTGGATATGGCGTCCCGGTGGGGTGGGTGGGGGCAGAGCAGGGCAGCGCGCAGCGCACGGCCTCCGGGACTAGGCCTCCGCGAGCCTCCGGGAGCAGCAGGAAGGGGGAGGAGGAGGAGGAGGGAGTTGTGGCGGGCCAACCCGTCGCGTCGACGCGTCCTGCGCCGCTGCCGGCGGCGGGGCACCACCACGACGGGGCTCGGCCAAAATCGAAAGTTGAGCCAACAAAACCGTCGTGCTGGTCGGCTTCGCCCTCAGGAGGCGCCATGGTCCTGTGTGGGCGGTTTCTGGCTGGGTATAGTCGGTCGCCTTTTTTCCGATCCACCGCGCAATAGGCGTG